GCCCCCAAACTGTTTTCTGCTGCGGCTGCTGCTGCTGCTGTTGCTGTTGCTGTTGCTGTTGCTGCTGCTGTTCCTGCTGGTGCTGCTGCCGCTTTAGCCGGGAGAGCAGCAGGGGCACTCCCGCCAGCAGCAGCAGCAGCAGCAGCAGCAGCAGCAGCAGCAGCAGCAGCCGCTTAAATTAATTAAAATATCTTTTGCTTCTTCTTCAAGAGAATTAATTTCATTTAAATCCCAGCAGCCTTTGTGGGTTTCTAGTGCATGCAGAATCCGGAGAATCTGTTGCTGCTGCTGCTGCTGCTGCAGCTGCTGCAGCAGCTGCTGCTGCTGCTGCTCCTGCTCCTGCTGCAGCAGCAGCAGCAGCTCCTGCTGCTGCTGCTGCTGCTGCTGCTGCTGCTGCTGCTGCAGGCCTGTGACTGTGGACTCCAGCAGAGCCACGAGGGCCTTCAAGTTGTTTAATTCTTTTTTTTGTTTTTCTTTTTTTTTAATTTCAAAAAATTTAAATTTATTAAAACCCCAAACCCCCAAAAAGGGGAAAGAAAGAGACAAACCCTCGAGGGCGAGTCCGCAGGCCACGCGGCAAAGTCCCAAACCCTCAAACCCTAAACTCTCAAACCCAAACCCTAAACCCTCGCCCCCAAACCCTAAACCCTCAACCCCAAACCCTAAACCCTCGTTCTTCCTTGCCTCGTCCCAAGTGGCCATTTGATAAACATCCACCGAAAAGAAATCGTGCTGATAAGACAAACACACAGAAGGGTTTAGGGTTTAGGGTTTAGGGTTTAGGGTTTAGGGTTTAGCGATTTCTTTTGAAGGCTTTCTGGTCTTTTCGAAAGCGACGGCCCTCACACAATCCTCGGCCTCCAGCTCTTAAACCCTAAACCCTAAACCCTAAACCCTAAACCCTAAACCCTAAACCCTAAACCCTAAACCCTAAACCCTGGACCATAAACCCTAAACCCTAAACCCTAAACCCTAAACCCTAATTTGCTGGAAGGTCAAATCTTCAACTGGCCCACTCAACCCTAAACCCTAAACCGTGACTTGATTGATTACCAAAGTGACTCTAAACCCTAAACCCTAAACCCTAAACCCTAAACCCTAAGCCCCTAACTGTCAACTGCATATCCCTCATTTAACATTCAAATGAATAACTTAATTTATTATTTATTTATTTATTTACTATTTATTTATTTATTTATTTAAATAAAAATTATTTTTTTTTTTATTTTTCTTACCCGATAAATTCTGCCGCTGCTGCAGCCAACAAACAGCTGCGCCTCGTCTTCTTGCAAAAAGTCCTCGTTGCTGCTGCTGCTGCTGCTGCTGCTGCTGTTGATGCTGATGCTGCTGATGCTGCTGATGCTGCTGCTGCTGCTGCTGCTGCAGTGGGGTTGTGTGTTGAATGCAGCGAGGCAGCAAACTGCATCAGTAGCAGCTGCAGCAGCAGCAGCAGCAGCAGCATCACCAGCGTCAGCAGCAGCAGCAACTTCAGCAGCAAGGTGCAGCAAAAGGACTTTTTGGAATTTAAAAGAAAAGAAATAAATTAATTTTCCTCCAAATGTAAAAACTAGAGTGTCTCCAAAGATGCAGCAGCAGCAAAAAGCTGCTTCTTCCTTTTTTATTTCCTTTTCTTTTTTTATTTCATTTTTTATTTCTTTATTTATTTCTTTATTTATTTCCTTTTCCTTTATTATTCCTTTATTTATTTTTTTATTTACTTTTTGATGTATTTCTTTATTTACATTTTTACTTATTTCATTTTTAAATTCGTTTTTATTTTCTTCTGAGGGGTCATGCAGTGAGTTTGGAGTTTCGCAAAAATCCAATTTTTGAATTTTATTTATTTCATTTAATTTATTTATTTCACTTATTTCATTTATTTCATTTATTTCATTTATTTCATTTGAATTATTTGATTTATTTGATCTATTTGATTCATTTAATGCATTCAAATCACTTAAATCATTTATTTTATTTACTTTGTTTATTTTTGAAAAAAAGTCTGAAAAGCTTTCTGCGGCTTTTAGGCGTCCGTCTGCGAAAAAGGAAATTTCAATTAATTCATTTTTAATTTCATTTTCATTTTCATTTTTATCTCTATTTTTATTTTTAATTTCTTTTTCATTTTCTTTATTTTCATTTTCATTTTCTATTTCTTTGTCTATTTCCTTTTCATTTTCTTTTTTAATTTCTTTTTTATTTTCTCTTTTTATTTCTGTATTTATTTCTTCTTCAATTTCTGTATTTATTTCTTCGTCTATTTCTTTATTCATTTCTTTACTTATTTCTTTATTTAATTCTTTAGGTATATCATTTACTTCATCATTTATTTCATTTATCTTACTTGTTTTATTTATTTTATCTATTTTATTTATTTTATCTTTTCTATTTATTTCATTTATTTCATTTATTCCATTTATTTCATTTATTTCATTTTTAATTTTATTATTATTTTCATTTATTTCTTTTTCCATTTCTCTTTTCATTTCACTTTTAAAATTTTCTTTTAATTCGTTTTTAATTTCTTTTTTAATTTCCTCATTTATTTCTTCATCTATTTCATTCCTTTCTTTTATTTCATCGTTTATTTCATTATTTATTTCATTATTTATTTCATTATTTATTGTTTCTTTATCTATTTTATTATTTATTTGATTATTCATTTCATTTATTTTATTTATTTTATTTTTATTTTTAATTTCATTTTTTTCTCCCAACAGCAAAAGCGAATGGCTCCACCGCGAAGCTCCGAAAACGGGAAAGTCCGTTTCATATCTGCAAACAAATTAATTAATTCAATTAATTTAATTAATTAATTTAATTTAATTAATTTAATTTAATTTAATTCAATTTATTGGTTTAGTTTAATTTGGTTTAATTTAATTAGTTGAACTAGTTTTAATTTGGTTTAATTAATTTGCGATTATTTGTTTTTCTGATTTGAAGAATTTCCGAGTTTTTTATCGAACAAAAAAAGATTCCAAAAAGCCAATTAAATTAATTCTTTAATTCTTTGCTTTATTTATTATTTATTTATCTATTTATTTATTTATTTATTTATTTATTTATTTATTTATTTATTTATTTATGTATTTATTATTTATTCATTTATTTATCTCACCTCAAAGTGACAACTCCCTGTGCGTCGCAAAGAAAGAGAGATTTCAATTTTGGAAGAAAAGCGAAAAACGAAAAAGGAGAATCCACAAGAAGATCTTTTGCGAAAACAATCTAGAAATAAATAAACAAATAAATAAATAAATAAATAAATAAATAAACTAATTAATTGATTAATTAATTAATTAATTAATTTGGTTTACTAATTAGTTGTTTTGTTTATTATTTATTTGCTTATTGGGAAAAAAACGGAAAAAATCTAGCCAATTTGCTTTTGAAGGCCCAAACCCTAAACCCTAAACCCTACACCCTAAACCCTAAACCCTAAACCCTAATGAGTTGCTTACAAAGGAGGGACACTCCTGCAGCTGCAGCGTGGCTGTGGGCGTTCCCAGGGCGAATTTAAAAAAGGGCTTTTCTTGGAATTTATTTTTTCTTTTTTGTTTTTTCTTTTTTAAACTCCACAAAACAACTAAACCCTCCAAATCTGCTGTTGCGCATGCACTTCCTTCTCCATTTACTTCTATCAACTTCACTGCAGCAGCATGCACATTGCAGCACTTCAAACCCTCCAATTCGCTGCATCGGGGGCCCCCCGGGGCCCCCCAGGGGGCCCCCTGGGGGGCCCCCTGGGGGGCCCCCCGTGGCCCCCCCTGGGGGGCCCCCTGGGGGACCCCCAGAGGGCCCCCCGGGGGCCCCCAGGGGGCCCCAGGGGCCCCTATTTGAGGGTTTGTGAAATAGTCTAGAGTTGCAGGCAAAGAACTAAACCCTAAACCCCCGTTTCCGTAGGCCACGATGAGTCCATTGAGGCCTGAAAAGCCGCAAGACATGTTGCAAACCCTAAACTCTAGACCCTAAACCCTAAACCCTAAACCCTGCAAGGGGGCTTCCCTCGTATCTTTCGCACCCTCCTCAGGCCCCTTAAACAGCCATTTATTAAAACCCTCCTTTTCCATTTATTCTAATTTAATTATTTATTTTTATTTATTCATTTATTTATTAATTCTTTTATTTATTTGTTTATTTATTTATTTATTTATTTATTTATTCGTCTACCCGTGGGTTCCGTAGCTCAGCAGGTTAGAGCGTGTGGCTGTTAACCACAAGGTCGCAGGTTCGAACCCTGCCGGTACCGCTCTTGCGACTCCACTTTTGTTTTTAAAATAAATAAAAAGAAATTTTATTTCTTTTTATTTCTTTAATTTTATTTTATTTCTTTATTTACTTTAATTTTATTTTATCTCTTTTTACTTGCTTTCATTTTATTTTATTTCCTTTTATTTTATTTCATTTATTTTATTTCTTTTTATTTATTTCATTTAGCTTATTTAGTTTGTTTTATTTGTTCTGATCCATTTATTCCATTTTATTTGTTGCATTTATTTTATTTATTTTGTTTCAATTCTTTTTCTTTTTATTCAGTTTCTTTTCGTTTATTCTCTGTATATTTGTTGTGTTTCCTTCTGTTTGTTTAGGGTTTAGGGTTTAGGGTTTAGGGTTTAGGGTCTAGACAGCTAGCTAGAGAGCTAGCTACCCGCTATCCAGCTAGCTAGCTAGCTACACAGCTAGCTAGCTAGCTAGATAGCTACTTGGGTAGCTAGCTAGCTAGACAAATAGCTAGCTAGGCAAATAGCCAGCTAGATAGCTAGCTGGCTGGCTAGCTAGCTAGCTGGATAGATTGATAGACAGCTGGATAGCTGGATAGCTAGCCAGCTAGATAGCTGGCTGGCAGGACAGCTAACAAGCTAGCTACCCTGCTAGCTGTCCAGCTAGCTGGCTAGCTAGCTAGCTACCCACCCTACTAGCTGTCTAGCTAGCTAGCTAGCTACACAGCTAGCCAGCAAGCCCCTAAATTAGTGCGCACATGTAACTATCTAGCCGGCTAGCTAGCTAGACAATCGCAAGAGCTAACTAGCCAGCTAGCTAGCTAGCTAGCTAGCTAGCTGGCCAGTTGCAGCTAGCTGGCTAGCTAGCTAGCCAGCTAGCTGGCTAAGTACCTAGTTGGCCCGCTGACTGCGCAGGTAGCTAGCTAGATAGCTAGCTAGATAGCCAGCTAGCTAGCTAGCTAGCTAGCTAGCCGGCTAGCCATCTAGCCAGCTAGCTAGCTGACTGCGCAGGTAGCTAGGTAGCTACAGATAGCTAGATAGATAGATAGATATATAGCTAGCTACCTAGCAAGCAAGCTAGCTAGCTAGCTAGATAGATAGCTAGCTATTTGGCTAACTCAGAGCTTGCTAGCATGTATGAAATGAACTTAATTGATTTAATTGATTTAATTGCATAAATGAATTAAATTAATATCAATTAATTAAAATTATTAACTCACTACTTATCCACTTTATTGATTTTATTTTCTCTCCTGCAGGCAAATCCAAACACTCTAAAATTTGTCCAAACTCGTTGCACACGAAGACACAAACTGCTTCTTCCTGCTGCTGCTGCTGCTGCTGCTGCTGCTCTTTCGGAGTTTCGTTTGTAGTTGCTGCGCTGGTTGCTGATTTGGCTGCTTTAGCTGATTCTGCTGTAGCTGCTCGCGTTGTTTCCGGCTCTCCGCCGTGCGGTCCTGCTGCTGCTGCTGCTGCGTCCCTGCTGCTGCTGCTGCTGCTGCGGTGAGAGGGAGGCAGGGGAGCAGCAGCTAGCCACTGAGGGCATTTAGGCGCTGCAGTAAATGCCAAAAGAGTTCTGTTAATTCTTTCGGGATAAAAGTTGAAGAAGAAAAAGTCGACGACGGAGAACTCTTCGCACACGCTGTCGAGTGTCTGGACAGGTGGCGAGTTTGCAGAAAGAGGCTCGTTGGCGGGAAAGCGAGATATAATCCCATTCTCGTTCATCTTTTTTGTTTTTGAAAAGTCCAAAATGCATTTAAAATGCTATTTCCAAGAAAAATAATTCAAAAACTCCGCAGATCCACTGCGAAACGTCCAGCTTTCTCCTGCAGGGGCGGCGCCTGCTTGCGGCTGAAACCTGCAGAAAATGAATTCAAACTTGAGATCTGTGAGCATTTATTGAAAGATAAAAGTAATTAAAAAGTAAAAACCTCTGAAATAAAAGATCTGGCGCAAAACTGTCAAGTGAAAGAATAAATCTGAATGGACTCTTCGCGTGCACCGGATCTCGTGCACCCTCGCGGTGTACGTACACCCGAGCCCCTCCGCTTCATTTGCAAATTTGAATTTATTAAAAACAATTTCATTAATTCAAATTTGCTTTTCAGATCCAAAAGGCTTTAACTGCACTACACAGACTCCCAGCACCTCGTCGGCTGCCAGCGGCGTCCGCAGCAGCAGCAGCAGCAGCAGCAGCAGCAGCACATTGCTTTCTTTCTTTTATTTTTGCAACTTTTCAAAACTTTTTAACTCTTTGAATTTAAATTTAAACTCAAAAACACAATTAAATTCATTTTTGCGAATTTTCTTCTTTTCTAATCCATGTCTGCTTCCTCCAGCAAGAGAGCCGCTCTCTGTCTTCGACTTGAAATCCAATTTGGAATTAAATTTGAAGTTAAAATTCAAAATTAAAATTTAATTTGCGTTTAAAATTTAATTCAGAATTGAATTTTAAATTCAAATTAAGAATTGAATTTTAACTTAAATTCAAAAAGGGAATTCAAAGATCCAGCTGAGTGTACACACCAAGTTCCCGAGTTTCAATTCTGTAAACTTCATCTTATTCATTTATTATTCATTCATTATTTATTTATTTATTTATTTAGTATTTATTTACTTTAACTATTAACTAACTAATTAATTAATTAACTTATTATTTATTTGTTTTATTACTTTATTTACTTTTGGGTTTTGCACCACTGAAGTTGCTGCAGTGGAAGTTGAAAATAAATTGTTTTCTTTTGTAAAAGACAATGAGAAATAATAACTGCCAAATGGCACTTTTATAAATAAACAAAATGAATTATAAAAAAACAAATTAAATTATAAACAAATAAACTGAATTATAGATAAATAAAATGAAAAATAAATAAAATGAATTATAAATAAATAAAATGAGTTATAGATGAATGAAATAAAGCGGAAATACATAACGTGGAAATAAATAAAGTACAAATGAATAAAGTACAAATGAATAAAGTAAATTAGAAACAAATGAATTATAAGTAAAAAAACGAATTACAAATAAATAAATTTGAAATAACAATAGAAGAATAGTAGAATAATAGTAGGAACAAATAAAGTAGGAATAAATGAACTATAAACAAATAAAATAAACTAGAAATGAATAAGATATAAATGAATAAAATAAATTAGATATAGATACAGTAAATTAGAAATAAATAAAATGAATCATAAACAAATAAAACAAATTAGAGACAAAATAAACTAGAAATAGATAAAATGAATCATAAATGAATAAAATAAATTATAAATAAATAATAAAAGTAAAAATTGAATCCGGTCTGGAGTTGCAGAAAGACACCCTGAGCTGGAGATACGCCCGAGCGCCTGGGGTTTTGAAAAAAGATTTTAATTCAATTTTGTTTTAAAAAGAAAAAACCATTAAAGTGCTGCAGTTTAATTATATTGTTTGTTTATTCCATTTGCTGCAGCTGCAGCAGCAAAAGAATTAAATTTTCAAAAATTATTTTTCAAGTTTTTCCATTTGCTGCACTTCAAAAATGAAAAAGACAAAAGTTCGTTTTGCTGCTGCATGCAGATGTGCTGCACCATTTCTCCCGCGGCACTTCCAAGCAAATTCTTAGCTGCTGCTGCTGCTGCTGCTGCTGCTGCTGCTGCTGCTGTTTGCTGCTCTCTCTTGTCTGAAAGAAACTAAATTTGTTTTCTTTGGCTTTTCCTTTTCCCAAAAGAGGCCAGCTTTCCTCTACGCCTAAAATGGCGTTTCCGCATTTTTACAATCTGCTGACACCTCCCGTAGTGCAGCAGCAGCAGCAGCAGCTCCTGCTGCTGCTGCTGCAGCTAGCAAAAGGGCCCCTTGCTGCAACACAAGCAGGAAGAGGAGCAGCGGCTGCTGCTGCTGCAGCAGCGGCAGCAGGGGCAGCAGCAGCAGGAGCAGGAGCAGGAGGAGCAGCAGGAGCAGGAGCAGCAGCAGCAGCAGCTGCTGCTGCTGCTGGTGCAGCTAGGGGGCCTTTTCAAGCATGTGTATGGGCGCCATGATGTTGTTTTTGTTGGTCTCGACGATGCAGCCGTCGGTGATCATTTCGCTGATGATGAAGTGCGCCTTCTCGATGTGGAACATGATGTCGAGTTCGCAGACGTTTTCGAAGAACCTGTCGAGAGTTTCGACGAGACAATGAATTAATTCCAAAATGGCGAGTTCGTTGACTTCGGGTTCGTCGAGAAGACCCACGATGAAGTACAAACTCGCGTACCTGCGCCGCAGCAGCGCCAAACTTGAACAGGTGGAAAGCGGCCCCAAATGGCGCTTATTTCGCGCGATCTGTGACTCCCAAGCATTAATAAACTTGTTTTGCATTCATATGCACATTCTATTCCCCAGTTTCCCTCATAATTCCGCGAAAATCGGGGGCAAACAGCTGCAGCCGGAGCGGCCGCCGCGGCAGACGGCTGTCTATACACCCCAGCTCCGCTCGGGCGCGCGCGCCTCGCCACAGCTCTTTCTTCACTTTTTTCGATTTTACACATTTAAATTGGCGAATTAAACGAAGTAAAAGGGTATTTACCGCCTGTAAACGACTTTGTACTGTCGGTACTGGATGAAGGAGCACTGGCTCTCCGAGCGGGAAAGGCACTTGCGAATCAGCTCGCCTTCGAGCGCCGCGCGCTCCGAGACCTCCAGAAACTCGTAGTACTGCGACAAACGCGTTTGGCCTTGTTTATTAACCATTAAGACGAAGCGAATCATCTTTGCAGTGAGGAACTGCTGCAGCAGCAGCAGCAGCAGCAGCAGCGGCGGCGGCAGCAGCTGCTCGGGTTCCCGCGCCCCTCCCCCGCCCCCGCGGCCGCAGCCAGCAGCAGTTAGTGCATTTATAAACTGCAAAAGAAAAAGCAAAAGAGAAGCAGCAAAGAAAAGAGCTGTTGGCGTGTGGAGTCGGCGGCGGCGCTGCTGCAGCGCAGCAGCACGAACTGCTGCTGCTGCTGCTGCAGCGGCGGGACGTCTGCTGCTGCTGCTGCTGCTACACAGCCCCAGAGCGGGCCAGCGAGGAAGGCAGTTGGAGCGAAAAGTTTGTTTTATGAAAAGTTGAAAAAGGAAAAAGTAAAAGTGGCAGTTTGCTGTTCGTGGGGTGTACAGACGGCGTAGAAGACCGCGTTTGCTGCAGTTTCTCCGCGTGCTGCAGCAGCAGCAGCAGCAGCAGCACTTTGATTGTTTATTTGTTTTTGCGCCAACTTTATCCAAAATGGCCTTCCGAGACTCTCCAACTCCGCCGCGCGAAAACGGCGGCTGCGCCCCTGGCCCGCGGGGTGTACATACACCCCAACTTCCGGGGGGTGTACATACACCCCAACTGCCCCCCCAAACCTCCTGCAAAGTTGCTGCTGCTGATGAAGAAGAGCTGCTGCAGTTCATTCAGAAAGAGGGAATTAAAGAAGTGGATTGCTGCTTCGCAGACCCCCTTGGCCAGTGGCACCACTGCTCCTTCCACCCCAGCATGGTCCTGAGGGTTTAGGGTTTAGGGTTTAGGGTTTGGGGTTTGGGGGGTGGGGTTTGGGGTTTGGGGTTTAGGGTTTGGGGTTTGGGGCTTACGCCCGCCCGCAGCCGCCTCCTGCTGCAGCAGCCAGACACACACGCGGCAGCCCACACTGCCACGCGCCTTTAGGGTTTAGGGTTTAGGGTTTAGGGTTTAGGGTTTAGGGTTTAGGGTTTTTGTGCAGATAACTCGCGAGTCGCTGACTCATGGCTTTCCTTTTGACGGCTCTTCTATTCGGCTTTTGGCGAACATCGAAAAAAGCGACATGTTCATGAAACCCGGTAATTGAATAAATTAATTTAATTAAATTAATTAAATTAAATTAAATTAAATTGGATTGATTAAATTAAATTAATTAAATTAAATTAAATTAAATAATGGTTTGCTTCGCTTGTTTTGCTTTGTAAAGCGCGGAGGGTTTGGTGGGCGGCGGTCGCACGCGGTAGGGAGGTTGCTAGGGTTTAGGGTTTAGGGGGTTTAGGGTTTAGGGTTTAGGGTTTAGGGCCTAGGGTTTGCGTTTAACACCCTAAAAGCGGACTTCTAGGCCCTGTTTTAGGGGATAGAGTTCCCACTTGAGGGCGTGTGGGCTAGGGCTTGCTAGGGTTTAGGGTTTAGGGTTTAGGGTTTGCGTTTCAGACCCTAAAAGCGGGTTTCTAGACCCTTTTTTAGGGGATAAAGTTCTCCACTTGACTTGTTTTCTTTTGAATGCAAATGGCTCTCCTTGCTGCCGCTGCCCCCGCACCATTGCAGCAAAGTGCGAGCAGTATGTGCAGCAGCTCGGCTTCGCGGACAAGGTTTGCTGCTGCTGCTGCTGCTGCTGCTGCAATAACTGCTGCTGCTGCAATAACTGCTGCTGCTGCAATAACTGCTGCTGCTGCAATAACTGCTGCTGCTGCAATAACTGCTGCTTCCATAACTGCTGCTGCAATAACTGGTACTGCTGCTGCTGCCCCCGTAACTGCTGCTGCTGCTGCTTCCGTAACAGCTGCCGCTGCTGCTGCTGCTGCTGCTGCTGCTGCTGCTGCTGCTGCTGCAGCAGCAAAGGAAGCAGAGAGTGTTGTGTGCGCAGGCGTGCATCGGGTTCGAAGCGGAGTTTTTCATTTTCGAAAATGTTCAGTTTTGCGTCAAAGGGAATAAAGTGGGCTACCACGTGGACTGCAAAGAAGAGGCTTACTGGAACTCCGACGGTGCAAACCCTAAACCCTAAACCCTAAACCCTAAACCCTAAACCCCAAACCCCAAAGCGCAAACCCTCGCCGTAGCCGCAGCCCGTAGCGCTTCGCGAACCGCGCGGAGGCCGCCGCGCGCGGCGCGGCGCGGCGGGCAGGCGCGAAGCCGAACCCTAAACCCTAAACCCTAAAAGAGCGTATTGCGCGCAGTGGCGTTTCTGGGCCGCGGAAACCTGGCGCACCGCAGCCTCGCGGGCTGCGGCTACTGCCCCGTGCTGCCCGCAGACAGGAGGCACTGGCTGCGCTCCTGCATGCTTGCATGCATGCAAAGTTTGGGGCTTTTTGCGGAGAAGCACCACCACGAAGTGGGGGCCTGCCAGCACGAGCTGGGGCTGCGGTTTGCTGCTCTTGCTGCAGCAGCAGACGCATGCATGCTGCACAAGTACGTGGTGAAGAACACGGCGCATGCATTCGGTGTCTCTGCAACTTTTCTCCCCAAACCCTTGCCAAAAGCCCCGGGTTCTGGCCTCCACGTGCATTTGTCTTTGTGGAAAAACAACCGAAACATCTTCGCCAAGGCTCCCGCGAAGCCGCCTGCTGCTGCTGCTGCTGCTGCTGCTGCTGCTGCAGCAGCGGCGGGCGAGCGCGCGCCCGCGCCCGAGGGCGACAAACGCGAGGCCGAGACGCGGCAGCCTGCTGCTGCGGCGGCGGGCGGCGAGGGCGCAGCAGCAGCAGCAGCAGCAGCAGCAGCAGCAGCAGCAGACTCGCTCAGCGAGGAAGCCAAACAAGCAGCAGCAGGAATTCTGCTGCATGCAAAGGCCTTGGCGGCCTTTACAAATCCTTCTACGAATTCTTACAAAAGACTTGTCCCCGGATTCGAAGCCCCCACTTCCCTCACCTTCTCTCCTGTCAGATTTTTATTTTGTTTTGTTTAATTGTTATTTAATTAATTTAATTGATTTAATTGATTTAATTAGTTTAGTTGGTTTGTTTGTTTGTTTGGTCTGGTTTATTCGGTTTTTGAATTATTCGTTCTGGAGAAATTCAAGTTTTGGTTCGACTGCAGAGTGTCGTCAACGGTGAAGTGATTATCAAATAGTTCTTTTATTTATTTATTTTCTCAATTTATTTAATTATTTATTTCGGTCTATTTAATTATTTATTTTAATTCTTTCAATTAGTTACTTTAATTCATCTAATTCGTTTAATTATTTGTTTTAATTCAGTTAACTATATAATGCATTTAGTTCATTTTTTACATTAATCCATTCAATTTATTCAATTATTATTTTAATTGAATTAACTTAATTTAAATAAATAAATAAATAAATAAATAATTTATTAATTTAGTTGTTTTAGGTGAACATAGAAATGCTATCAAGTTCCTGTTCGGTTTCTGTGCTTTCACTCCCAGAAAACCGCAATAAAGAAAGGATGATGAGACAATTGAGGAAATAATTTAATTATTTAAACCAAATTAATTAAATGTTTAATTAAATAATTAATTAATCTAATTAAATTAATTAAATTAATTAAATTAATTAATTTATTTAATTGTTTATTTGATTGTTTTGGGTGAACAGAAGCACAGTGGTTCAAGTGTCTGTCCGTTTTTTGCGCTTTCAACTCCTGAAGACCACTCGAACAACGAACTTCTGCATCCAATGGGAGTTTAATTGAACAAAGAATGAATGAAATGAATTAAATGATTAAATTAATCAAATTAATTAAATATTTGATGAAATTGATGTTTAATTGTCTATTTGATTGGTTTAGGCGAATGTAGTTTGTGTTCGTTTTCTGCGCTTCCACTTCCAGAAGCAGCAAAGCGGTGAAGCGAGTGAACCGAAAGGGCATTTAATGGTTCAAATGGACTAAATAGTGCATTAAATGATTAAATAATGCATTAAATGAATTAAATAATTGAATTAATTGTTCGTTTCAGGCGAACAGAAGCGCGGCGATCCGCGTGCCCGTGTGCCCGGGGGGCGGCAGCGAGAGCGCGCGGCTGGAGTTCAGGTGTCCAGACAGCTCGAGCTGCTCGTACTTGTGCTTTTCGGCCATCGTTTTGGCGGCAATTGACGGAATTAAAAGACAATTGAGGCCTCCGGAGACTCCAGAATGGGATTCCTTTCGAGTGGAGACGCAAAATGGTACTTTTAAAGACAAAAATCTCCCGAAAAGTCTCAACGAAGCCCTCGACGCCCTCGAGCAAGACCACCAGTTCCTCCTCCAGGGCGGAGTCTTCACGGAAGTGAGTTTCGCCTTTTGATTGCATTTAATTTAATCATTTTGTTTGATTGTTTTATTTAATTTATTTCGTTTTATTTAGTTTTATTTGTTTGTTTAATTTAGGTTTGTTTTGCTTGTTTGTTTGTTTGTCTTTGTTTTGAACTGGATTCGCTTGTTTCTTGCTGTCTTTGGTTTTATTTGTTCTTTTTGTTTTCCGGTCGTTTTTCATGCTTTTTCTCTTTTCTTTCCCCTTTCATTTCTTTTCACTTCTTTTTATTTCTTTTTACTTCTTTTTGTTTCTGTTTTATTTCTGTTTTATTTCCTGAAGTTGTTTTGTCATAAATAAATAAATAAGTAAATATAAATAAAAATAAATATAAATAATAAATAAATAGATAAATAAATATGAATGAGAATAATAACAAGTACTAAGTCATAAGTGGCAAATAACAACCAGACAAACAGAAAACAAATAAACAAATAAATTAAATAAATAAATAGATAAATAAAAGATAAAACAACCAAAACAAACAAATAAAATAAATAAATAAAAAGAAAATTGTCATTAATTGACAAATTCAATTTGGGAAGAAAAACAAACAAGAAATAATCCAAGAAGAATTGTTTTGGGAACCTGTGGCTGAATTAAAAAAACAAAATATATAAGAAAAAATCAAATAATAAATAAATGTTTTACTAATTTCTTGATTAAAGAATTAAATTCGTGAAGAGAGAAGTGAGGGAATAAAGAATAAACAATAAAATGAAAATAATAAAAATAAAAGTAAAAATAAAAATAAGAGAAGAATAAAGAATTAAATCAAAAGGACAAAAGTTAAAAAAGAAATGCAAAACAAAACAAAAAAGGAATAAAAGAATAAATAAAACAAGGAGGTAAAAAGAAATAAAATAAATAAAGAATAAATGAAACATAAAATGAAGTATAAAACAAAAATAGAATAATGAAAATGCCGTTTTGTCCTTTTGTGGCTTTTTGTGAAATTCAAAAAATTCGAAAAGTTTTTTGAAATAAAAAGCAAAAACAAAATAAATAAGTAAATAAAACAAATTGAATTAAAAACAAATTAAATTAAAAAGAAATTAAGCCAAAGAAAATAAAGAGAAAATGAATGAAAAGAAATTAAATAAAAGAAATTAAATTAAAAATAAAATCAATTAATCTGAAAAGGAATTAAATTCAACTTTTCAACTTTCGCCAAACTCCCGAAATAATTTTCAAAAAGTTTTTCTTCTTTTAAGAACTAATTAAACTAAATTAATCAAATCAATTAAATCAATTAATTAATTTAGTTGTTATTTATTTATTTATTATTTATTTATTATTTATTTATTTTTTATATATTATTTATTTATTTATTTATTTGTTTATCATTTTATCGGACCTTTTTCGAAGTACGCGTTTTTTACAATGCGCAAACCCTAAACCCTAAACCCTCTTTTGTTGTTTCTGGAAAGACAAAAATCCCTCTCAAGAAAGGAGTTGGGACGAAACAAAATTAAAACCTCCAAACGTTTGCCATTTATTAATTCTATTTGTTATTTGTTTATTTATTCTATTTATTTATTTCTATTTATTTTATTTGCCCAGAGTTGGAGGCAGAAATTGCAGTTTCTCAAACCCTAAACCCTAGCTAGCTAAACCCTAAACCCTAGCGTAGCTGTAAACCCTAGCTAAACCCTAAACCCTAGCGTAGCCCTAAACCCTAGCTAAATCCCAGCCAAACCCTAAACCCTAGCGTAGCCGTAAGCCGTAGCGCAGCTGTAAACCCTAAACCCTAAACCCTAGCGAAGCCGTAAACCCTTGCTAAACCCTAAACCCTAGCGTAGCCCTAAACCCTAGCT